AAATTGGTGGGAATCTTGATGATTATGCATGCTCTAGTGGAATTTCTGTCTACCATCCTATTGGAGCAATCATTGATGATCTCCGAGACCCAGTAGGAGTTGTTGAGCAACAGTGTTTGGCTCGAATCTAATTACACATCTCAATTGAGGGCCAAGTATAACTGACGACCGAGTGTAGCATAGGGTAAGCAAGCAATAAAATTTATCGAACCACAGGGATCTAAGGTTACCTTACTTCAGTTTTAGGGTTCGTATCTAGCCAATCTAGGATAGTGATTTGGAAAACTACTCTAAACAAGGCTAACCACTAACCTAGTTGATTACAAGTTGTGGAGCTCTCTTAGGTTTGAATCCTCCTAGTTTCGTTAATTGGGTCGATGTTGAGCATTATCCTAGATCGATCGATTCACTACCCTACTGTTATGAGATCGACTCACTCGGGATTGACCCGGAACGGCGAAGTGATGGAGAGGTAGGTGCTCTGTTCAACCTAGGGATATATATCTTTAGGAGACCGATCCAATCAAAATCCCTCAGGGATTACCCGAACAATATATGATAGGGGCGACCCAAAGATGCCAATAATGAGATCTAAGGGGATTTTCTCCCTCCTAGGTCAAAAGCTCAATGCATGAAATAGAATCCTAACTCATGGAATCTATGAAAACCATCCATCAAATAGATAAAAACCATCCATCAATCATAGAATACTCACATACATGAACTTCAAACCAAAATCTAGATCTAGGGTTCATCAACCTAAGAGAAAGAGGTCTAGTTCATAGAGAAGAGAGAGAGATTACAAAACATGCATGCTCAAGATCTTCTTCTTCATCTTCTAGCATTGAATCCTTGACTTTAATATCAACCCAAGCCTTCAATTAAGCTCCAATATCACTCTAAAACTCACTCTCTCTAGAAATCCTCTTTGGTGTTTTGGTTCGAACCCACTCAGGGCACGACATTTGCTTTATGCCCGTGAATATTACACAACCTCCACTTTTTGGCTTGTTTTGACCTCCGAATGACCCGAAACTCGTCCTAGACCTTCCCACACGTACCAGGACCTGAAATGTGACAAAAGAAGCATAACCTAGCAAAAAATAGGTCGAGGGACAATGATTTACTAGCCCAACCACACCATAAATGAAGGGTAAAATATGTGTAATTGAGCCGGAATCAGCGTTTGATAGACAACATGCTTAAGCATATGGTGGAAAACAGGAATCAAGAAGACAGGGATGGACTAAGGGATATGGTAGCTGATGAAGCTGGTGAAGATGATGATGATAATGATGATGGTGATGAGGATTATGATTTAGTTGATGATGCTGATAGTGGATTTCTTCCTCTTCAACAAGTTTAGTGAAGAGGAAAAAGGATGAAGGACGAGGAAGAAGGAGATTGTTCATGAAGCAAATAGTTCAATCTGTGTTTTGTTTCCATATGGATTAGTAGTTTATGTAGTTTTTTTTTGGACTTTTTCCAGAAATAGCACTATTAATTTTCCCCCCCAAAAATAGCACCTAACCCCGAAAAATTGCAAAAATAGCACCCTTTCACGAAAATCACCACCTGGGGTGCGTTTTTTATTAAAACCACGCAGGTTGGGGGCGGTTTTGCTGACCGCATGGGGCCGGGACGGTTTGGTTGCAAACCGCACCCCCACCCGGCGGTTAGTATTATAGTTTTTTCTAAATTAATATCATAAGTGGTCTTGTCATAATTGGTTTTGATGTTTATTATGTTCAAGAAGTCATAGGTTTGAATCTCCATCATCCGATATTAAATTTTTTTATTTAGTAGAGATTAAAAAAGCCACATGTTGTGGGGATGGTGGTTCGAACCCAGATATAATAAATAGTTAACTAAATTTAGCACAACATCTACACCAACAAACTACAACTCTTCTTTTGAAACAATAAATATATTACTCTTCTTTTGAAACAATAATATATTGGCAAAGTTTTATTCCTTGAACGCTAAAAATTCTCAATAGCTTTGGACAACCATAACTTTGTGCTCCAAAATCCGAACGTCATGATTTTTTTTTCCTTTTGCATAACTTTTCAAGGACTACATGACGTTTGGATTTTGAAGCACAAAGTTATTGATGATTTTTAGCGTTCAACGAATAAAACTTTGTCAATATATTATTGTTTCAAAAGAAGAGTTGTAGATTGGTGGTGTAAATGTTGTGCTAAACAATGCAGTCAAAAACGGGATTTTGATCGTAAAATTGTAGGATTTTAGGATTTTACTTAGGGATTCCGATCCTGATTTTACTATAAAATCGGTGGACCTTAAAATCGTTCAAAGTCGGGATTAAATTCGTAAAATCGTACCAAAATCGAGATTTTGATCCTATGTGAACAAAATAGGGAGCTTGAGCCAATTCAAAAGAAGCAGAACTGTTTCGGTGGAAACCAAAAACAGTTGAAAAGAAGAAGCAAAAAAATAATTAGGGTTCGGTCAACCCCTTTCCCTTCTCCTTGTTTAACTCATCGGTAAAATAATTGTCAGAATATTGTAAGTGCGTAAGAATTAACATTATTATTAATAAATTATTCGATTGATGAATATATTTGTACCAAACCAATGACATTAATTATTTTATTGGATTTCAGTTACTCTTAGTTTTAAATCATGCTTAGTAGATGACGTCGGGATACTACTTTGAGTTAAACTACCTAGACACAACATGAAAAACAAGAGCCAAACCCCATGATCTTTATCCCTTCCTCATAAATTATTTTTAGTTACGCATTAAATAACAATTAAAATGATGATTTTGGCACATTAATCTTGAAAATTATCACTTTAAATGTTATAAGTCTTTGTGTTATTAATTTTTACCTTATTAATATTATTATATGTTAATTTCTATATGGTACTTAAAATCCTACGATTATCCGATTCGATTTTACAATTTGAATTTCATCCCAGTTTTCGATTTTAAGTAAAATCCCGATTTTAACTGCTTTGGTGCTAAATTTAGTTAACTATTTATTTTATGTGGGTTCGAACCACCATCCCCACAACATGCTTCATTTTTTAATCTCTACTAACTAAAAAGACTTAATATGAGATGATAGGAATTCGAACCTATGACTTCTTGCACACAATAAACAACTAAACCAGTTGTGCCAAGATCACTTATGATATTTATTTAGAAAAAAATATATATAATACAAAGAGCCGGGTGGGTGTGGTTTGCAACCAAACCGCCTGATCCCACGCGGTCATCAAAACCGCCCCCTACCCGTGTGGTTATCTTGAAAGGGTGCTATTTTTATAAATTTTCAGGGTTTGGTGCTATTTTTGAATTTTTTTTTCAAAACAGTGTTATTTCTGGAAAAAGTCCAGAAATTTGTGTTGTACATGAATGCATTGTTTCTGCTTTTTTTGTTGGTGATACGAGGAGGCCATCTACAATGACAATGGAGAGGCAAATATTGAGAGTCTAGCCTAAACCTTATTCAACCATGAGTGTCATAGAGGCATAGATTGAGTATACTAATTGCTTGTCTCTATTAAGGGTGAACTATGTGTTGATTTGATAGTTATAATTTATGCATTCTGAAAATTTTAATTGATGCATTAACATGCTTTTGGTCTCAAAGTTATAATAATGTTATGTTACATTGGTTAACCTGGTTAACCAAAGTACCAAACAAATTAAAAATTAGTTTTGTTTAATCTGGTAGTTGTATATATTTGGTCAGTTTGGTTATGATATTGCGTGCTATGGTTGATAGCATTTTACGCTTATTTGATTTTATAATTACTATGGTAACTACATGAACAACCCTAACAAGATATGCATTCCTTAAAGTTCCTTTTGTTAACCGTATTGGACTAGAATCACAAGTCAAGCGGGGAGAAAGTATAATCATTCTCCTATGCGGAAAAAGATTTGGAAAGCGAACAATGATACTGCGTCATATGGATTTATTCCAGCGTTGACATATATAAACGAAAGGGAAATTTCTACATAACATTAACAGCAAAGGAACCGACCAAAGCTACGAGGGTTTGCATCGCCGACAACCAACCACAGACTACAAATAAAACAAAAAATGGAGGACGGTGAATTGGTTAAGAACCCTGATATCACTCCTCCTAAGGTTGATACGGAGATTCCGCGCGAAGCTGAAGGTTCGCTTGTTGAGCACCCCAATCTCAAAGATCTGTTACTGCTTACAGAAGTCGTTATCCATGGGCTAAGGTTTATTGGTATAGATGAAGCATTTGACTTTTGGAGGGACTATGCCCTGGCCACTTGCTTCAACATTAGAAAATAAATTTTTTGTTCAAATAAGGACTGAGTGAAAACATGGCAATGGTTTGTGTGATATGTGGAGGGAAAGAAGCGCAATCCACCGCCCAAACAAAAGAAGGATCCAAATATATAGACACTACATGAAAGGGAATCGATGAATGAGCGATACAGTTTAAGCAGCCATTACTTGTCGAAGAGCCGCATCATGAAGATGCATCAAATTGTTTCTTTAACCCTAGCAAAAGCGGAAGGCTACCAGAAGACGGGGTTCACAAGGAACGATTGCTACAATTTTGTACACAAATATCGAAAAGAACAAATCAGTGAGGGTGACGCTGCTACCACCCTAGCATACAATTTAAAGCAGATGAACATTTGGTGCTCCTAAATTACTTGACATCCACTGACCCAAGGCAATCGAAAGGCTCCTGGACCCACACCCAGTGAATTTTAAAGGGGGTAAACTAACCAAGAGGAAGGAAAGAGAGCCACGACAATGTAAGAGACGTGGAGTCCATGGTCATAAGATAACCACTTGTACCAAACCGGAGGGTACGCCAGGCCTACGGATGTAGAGCTTATTGCCGGTGGTGGTGGTGGTGATCCAAATAATGACAGTAACGATGTGAACCATAACAGGAATAATGGTGTTGAGCCAAATAATAAAGACCAGTCGGGGCCATCAAATCTCTTAAAACCAAAATGTTGCGGAAAATGCAAATCGACCGTGCATGATGCCAGGATATGTCGAGAGCGTGATTCCGACGAGGATGATGATGAAAACAGTGATGGGGATGATGATTCGAGCAACTCTGGTGTGCAAGTGGAGGTAATGCAATGTCCTTATGGTGCATGTGATATAAAACTTTGATCATCCATCATCTTTACAAACTTGGTGTGATTTTGATGTTAGAGGTTGCGCGCTAGAGGGGATTTTACAAAGAAGCACCGTCAAGGAAATTATAGATTTTGCGAAGAAGCAACATGATCAAGGAAATTTGATATTTTTTAGATGGATCTTAGAGTGTTATGATGACTATTTTTACGGGTGTTTGAATTATTGTGGTATGATTTGAATGGATACTCGGAACTCAGGGTATGGTTTGCAAAATAAGTATATCATCAATGATAGTTTATATGGCTCTCTTTACCCTAACCTCTATAAGCAGCCCAAAAACACGAGAAACTACACCATTAAAACCATGTCCATAAACACAAGTAATACTTAATGTTTTGAATAACTTGATTTAACTCCTTCAACTTTGCATATTTACTTAAACTTATTACTTAAACATCATAGGCAAAACTTTTGGCCTTCAAGGCTTTAAGTAACACATTTTCTCGATCCAGCAGTAGTTTTAGGGTGATAGCAACCATTCTATCATTTATCACTTTAGCGCTTCTCCATTCCACCATTAAATCCTCCGGTTCTTCTTCCCAAACACTTCGCCCAGTTCATCGTAATCACACCACAACTTGTCTCACCTTTCTGCCTCACCACTTGTGGACATTCCTATGCAAACTCACTAAAGTTGAATTCATCATCCCTGCAGACCCCAATGTATGCAATGGCATACTTGACGACCATTTGTCCAATGTACTTGTAATTCTTCAAGCTCGCAGGGATGATGCTATCCAAGAATTGGAACTTCTTATCCTTCAAATTAACAACAAATGTCATGTAGTGGTTATTGTTGAGATGTGAAAAGATCCACTGCCAGTCAACAAGAAGTAAAACTACATGATATTGTTTAGACTAGGAACAAAGTAATCTACTCCACAATCAAATCAATAGACACCATAAAAAGAGAAGTGGTAAGAAATACCCACATAGTCGCACTTCCGGAAGTGGATATTGTGTGGGATCCATTTGCTGGTTGAAATTTCAAGCTCATCAAAGTAATTTGGCTCTGCAAACTCGTAATTTGGTTTCTTTTTCATCTTATCAAATATTTCTTAAACTCCAAACTACATAGTTAATAAGATTTAGTGTATCTGAGAAATGAATGGAACGAGTTGGATAGTGCAGTTATAACAAGCAATTGATTGTTTGTGTAACTCACAACTATTGATGTGGAGAATAGCCATCTTTTGAATGCTCCATTATTTTCTTGTTGACGATTGAGGTAGTCGGAGTATGCATCAACAAAACCATTGGACACCTCACTCTCGTGTGACATTGTCCTTGTGTCTAACCTTCTCATGGACAAGAAACCGTTTGTACGACTGAAAAGGAGCTCCTTCCTATAAGAGACCAAAACATAAACATGATGCATCTGAACATTAAAATAATAAACACATCCGTTAAATGCATAGTGGCCAACAACTAACTTACTCATTCACTGGCTCCCTCGTGTATTTTAGGATAGCTTTGTGCAGCCGTTTATCATGCTGTGTTTTTCCCATACCACTGATAAAGAGATCTTTTTTACTGGCTTCCTTGCCTTCTTGGTGTTTTCGGCATGTTTTCGTTTTTTTGAGCTTGAACTCTTTCCAGCCTCCTTCTCATACTCCTCCATATTAGTCTAGGCAAACAAAATAACTGTACCATAAAAGTCACCATCCATACCATGAACAAGATGAAGATTACCACAAAAGCATTTAGTAGTCTTCCACCATGAAGGTAAAAGTCACATTATTTGTGTCCTCCTCAAGCTCGTCAACATCAACGGCTTGACCTTCATTTTGCACTATTTCTTCACTGCACAATTTATTTTATTTTATTCCACATTGTTCCATTCTTCACCTTCTTGCAACTGAGGCTCCTCCTCCGTGTTGATTGATTTTTGAAGATGAGTCGTCTAGTTAAACAAATCATGTTGACCACATATAAGATCAAGCATACTTGACACTAACCGAGCATATTACGGTCCACAAATATAAAATGTCTTACCTTGCATACAGTCTCAACAAGCTGGTCGAGATTATATTGGCTAGGTTGAACTCATCATTTTTCTCGTCCCCCTCGATTGCTTCATTATCATCATCAGTCTGATTTTCACTGTCCTCTTTCTCTGCATTCCCAACAATGTATTTCCCACCAACATACTGAGCACAAGTACGTTGTTGTGGTGCACTTTCCAGGTCCCTCACCCCCTTTAACATTTTTATATGCTCACTCACCTGGATGATTTTTGAATTGTATTCTTATAGTGCTCGCAGCATGGTCATCTTGTGTTGCTCATAGCGTTCCTTCAATTAGTATGCCTACAATCAATATATAAATAATGCAGAACATTAACCATCTTATAGCATGAAAGTATGAAATATGAAGCATACGAGCGTGGTAAACCCATATTAGAGATTGTGCTTATACCTAGTATACAATACCGCTCACCTGTTCCAATGTGTGAATCGCATCGAGTTCGACAGGGACACAGAGGAGTTCCGTCAGATCACCCTCTTTCTCTATCGTCCTTGTTGATCCGTCTTCTTTTTAGGGGAGGAGGCTGATCAATCCGAGGGAAGTTGATAGGGATATCAGGGAGGCATGGCTGACTGCCTCAGCATATGTGACCAATTGTGTTCCTCCTTATTTTTCATTAGGGCACAACAGAGAATCAAAGGCATAGATGACAAAACGGTCCCTCTATTTATTCGTGTTTCTCTCGCTCATCAATTTGGCTCTCACATGAGAGAGCTAGGCATTTCCTTTGAATTATTTGGAAGACCTAATTTCTTTCCCCATGCACTTTTCATCTGTGTGGTGATTTGCTTTGATATGCCGACTTCGTATTGACCTCGTATTAACTGGTACCTACCAATGTCATAGGGATCACAACGATGAAGGTGGACCAAAGCCAGTCGAGTCCTCCTCCAAACATATTCTCCTAACCCTCATAGCAGCTCATGTCGTTGACGTGACCAATGGCCAGAAGCAGCAGCTGAGAGGGAGAGATACGAACAAGGAGCTGAGGAGTAGTAGCATGAGATGTCAACTAGCTAAGGGGACAAGAGGAGGGGGAGACTTTTCTATGTTTTGTTATCCAATTATCTGTTAAATTTTGTTCTTTGCAATTTTCTTCCTTTTCTTTAAAACTCAAAACTGTTAAGTACTGACTGGGAGCCTTAGTACACATTTGACTAGGCAAAGTCTCCAGGATATTTTATTTACATTTTATTTGTCATAATCTTTATTTGTGAAGTTTTTATATTTGATGTCTAGAAATCCTAAGACAGGTATCTGACTGCAGAAAAGAAGAGAAGGGGGAGATTGTTGGATCATTCACTTTCTTCGCATAAACTGAAGATGGTAAGTTGGAGTGATATGGTCGACAAGCTAAACATCTTTCTATTTGTGCTTTATATCAGCGTAGGGAGAAGACGAATGTTCTTATTATTACATATGAAGATTTGGAGAACAATCGTGGAAAGGTTGAACCCAGGTGGGCGGTTAGCGAGCTTGTGAAACGAAGATGTTGTTGATAGACAAAATTAATCCAAGACTGGCCGGAAAAAATTTAGAAAAAGGAAAGAAAGAGCAGTGACTAGTTTTTCCAAAACGTTATATATGTGTTAAGGAGTCTTCTCTAGGAGTAAATTTGTGTGAAGCACTAAGATAGTGGTGTTGCTTGAGGTTGAGTTGTTTTTGTTTTACTTGGATTCTCTAATAATATCACCTCGAAGCAGTGTATCCTATGCTTTGGGAATTTAGGGCTGGAAGTTTGGTACCGGTATTTAGGATATACTGAATACCGTATCGAATTTATCACTATTTCGTATTATCGAATACTAGCTTATATTTTAGGGATTGGGATTTATTTTGGAGTGATTCGGTATTCAGGATTACGGGATTGGGATCTGTATATACCAAAATACTGAGAAATACCGAAAATTAAAAATTAATGAAATATAACACATAGCCTATAGTCATTCCTCACTCTTTCACAACGTAGAAGCCCCCATCCAACTCAATTTTGACTTCTTAGTTTAAGTCACTCTCGTTTCTCATCTAATCTCTTGTTATTTTCATAACACCAAAAAGCAAACACTCGTATTAGTCGTCTCTTAACCTCCAATTCGTCAAATTAAGGATTACCATGACAAGAATTTGAGATGTCACCTCCTTATCCATATCCTAGCTCTAGGCAAACTCAAGACTCTTTGTTTAGTCTCTTTGCCCAAAATTAAACAGTCAAATCTAATTTATATATTTAATTATTAGTTGCAAAGGTAATTAATTTCGTATTCGATAATACGGATTGGGATACCGAAGTACCGATTGGGATACCGAAATATTTAGGAATTGGGATAACGAAATTATTTAGGGATTGAGATTGGGATTGACTTTAGGGTGTAATTCGGTATTCGGGATTTCGGTATTTGGTATTGGGATACCGATACCGTACCAATTTCCACCCCTAGATGTGGAAGTAGTATTCACAGGGTGAACCATATTAAAAAAATATCGTGTGTCCTCCTTTTCTCCTCTTTCGTACTCTGCTCGAGCTGTTTGCTCTGTTTCTTTCCTCTCCTCTGCTTCTTTCACTAGGTTGAGGCTTATAGACGAAGTCTGTGTTATAGCCTTGGCCCAGTGGAGAACTAGTCTTACTTAGTAATATGTTAGGCTTTTTTCTCCTTGTAGGCCCCTTCAAAGAAAAGATACGAGATAGAAATCTAGAACGACATATGTCTCAGTTGTCCCTTGGAGGACAAAACCCTGTCGTTCCTCTTATTTATTCACTGGGACTTTGCCTAGTTCGGGTTAAATGATGCCCAGCCCACTAATTCAAATTACCCGGGAACCAACTCTTCTTCTTCCTTTCCCTTTGACCAGAGTGTCAAATTACTCTACTAATAAGCAAGAAAAAAGGAAAAGAAATTAATTACCCATATGGCATTGCTAGAAGAATTGTTGATTTATTAATCTTGCTAATTTATAAAGAAATCCACATTGCTAAGACTTTGCCACTTAAACTCCACGTCACTTTAGCAATTACTAAGAGTTGGGGATGGAGATTTTCCACTACTAATAGTCTAACCATCTCCAATGTACATGTGTATTTTGCTACACTTTATTTTCAATACGAGTCGTGTGTATTTTTCATTTATAAGTATTTCTTTGTAGTTTCATGAATGAATGTTGAATTATTAAGATATACGTCTTTCGTTACGTGTTTGGACGATAAACATCTAATATATATCAAAGGAATGTTTCATGATTTACCACTCTAATTAATTATACAAATTTATTCTTCTAATCGCAACTTACAAATAAACTAGGAAATGAAAGTGGGTCTCGTTTGTATAGGTGGCATTGCTAGTTGACTTTCTAATTTAGCAAACTTGATAATTGGGCAAGAATCCACACATCCCTAACAATGGCTAGCTACTTTGCCACATAGGCTCCGTATCACCTTAGCAATTGCTAATAGTTAGAGAGAGATGCTCCCACATCCCATCAACTTAGACCATGTTTGGTGTTTGTGATTCTAAAATGTGTATATAAACAATACATGTATTACCTTTTTATTGGGCCAACCTACAATCGCTCAAAATTAGTGGACGAAGTTAATAATATACATATGTTGAAAATTTTCACCATTTATCGTGATTATTCATTTATAAATTTATCTATCATAATATTGAAACTAAAATTTTAACGAAAAATTGTTGCAACTAATTACTAGGGGTGACTAGTGGGTCAATGCGGGCAAAGAAAGGCAGAACTGGATGGATGGTAATAAAAATAGACCTAGCCAAGGCCTACGACCGTATAAAGTGGCGCTTTGTGAGAGATACGCTTGAAGCAGCGGGGGGTACCTCAAAATTTTATTGATGTGACCATGAGTTGCATCTCCTCAACCAGTATGCAGATTCAGTGGAATGGGGGGCTTACAGGTTCTTTTGTGCCATCACGAGGGCTTAGACAAGGTTGCCCACTTTCGCCATACATCTTCACCCTCTGTATGGAAAGGCTAGGCCACCTAATCTCGGCTGCTGTGGATAGGGGTGAGTGGATACCGGTTAAGCTGTCTCAGCACGGCCCTAGACTATCGCACTCTTTCTTCGCCGATGATTTGATCTTGTTTACTACGGCTTCCTTGGATCAAGTACAGGTTGTCTTACAATGCTTGGAAGACTTTGGGGCGGCATCGGGGCAGCAAATCAGCCGCCCTAAGTCTCGGGTCTACTTATCACAGAATGTCCATGCGACGGATCGAGCTGCCATCTGTGGTGCTCTTGGGATCCCGGAAACAAGTAACCTAGGTCGGTATTTGGGTGTTCCGGTGATTCGCGACAGGGTGTCAAAGGCTACTTATTCTGAGCTCATTGACAAGATAGATACAAGGTTGGCAGGCTGGAAGGTACGATCTCTTTCGTTAGCACGGCGGATTACGTTGGTCCAATCAGTACTCACGTCATTACCGGCGCACACTATGCAGACCTCCTGGTTACCTTCTTCTGTTAGAGAGTATATCGATAAGAAGATGAGAGGTTTCTTGTGGGGCAGTTCAGAGCAGGGTCGGAAGGTTCATCTTCTTGATTGGAATATAGTCTGTAAGCCGAAAGGAGAGGGAGGATTGGGGCTGCGTAATGCTACTGGGATGAATGAGGCTTTCATGTTGAAGGTTGCTTGGCGCCTCTTTACAGAACCTGACAGCTTGTGGGCTTGTGTTGTTAGAGGGAAGTACCTGAAGCAGACTGCAGACGGATGGCGACCACGACGCGAAGGCAGAATGTCGAATCTGTGGAGGGGCGTGCTTCGCGTCCTCCATAGGTTACCGGATGGAATTATGTGGAACATTAGAAGTGGCAGATAGACGCTATTCTGGACTGACCGCTGGCTGTAGGATGGCCCTACGCTCGCAGAGTTTGCTCTCCATCTCCCGGCTGCGGCATCGACGTTATCGAACGCAGAAATGGTGCTTAATGGGAGTTGGAACATGGAGTTTATCAGAGCTTTTCTCCCGGAGGATTTGGCTGAACAGGTCCTCCTTCACCCGGTCCCCCAGGAAGAGGAACCCGATATACCCATCTGGCGCTTTTCTCCATCGGGGCAATTTACGTTGAAAATGGGTTGGGGGATGCTTAGAGGGGGGGATAACGCGGGGCCACGCAGTCTGATCTGGAAAACAATTTGGCAGGTCCCTGGGCCGCAGCGGACGAGATCCTTTTTGTGGCTAGCTACACACCAAAGGATTCTGACTAACGCGGAAAGACGACGACGACATCTGGAGCAGGAGGATGACTGCCCCATATACGGAGGAGGCCCTGGGATGACGATTCACATGTTGCGGGACTTTGCATATGCTAGGATGATGTGGGCGGAGTTCCTTGAGGAGGAACCGGACACAGTGTTCCTCGAAGTTGACGTATTATATGTCTGGCCACTCAATGAGGATAGACCCTACCTTATTTGCCCTTATCTGTTGCCAGCTCTGGAAGAACAGAAACGCATGGGTGTTTGAGAAGCAGCTCGCGTCGGCTCCACAAATGGTATCCAGGATACAAGTGCTTCGCAATTAAGTCTCCAAAACCAGGGACATTTGCAGCGTGTATCTGGAGCGAATAATAACACGGGGACGAGGATGATTGGATGGAGCGGCCCACCAGAGGGGCTGGATGAGTGTTAATACCGATGGGTCTGTGGTCTTGGCGGAGGGGAGAGCAGCGGCAGGAGGCGTACTGAGGCGGGCAGATGGAAGTTTTGTCTCGGCTTTCTCGATAAACTTGGGTGGCGGCTCAGTCACCCACGCGAGCTTGCAGGTATGGTCCAAGGATTACGGACGGCATGGGAGAGTGGTGCGAGGAAGGTGGAGCTGCAAACAGACTCACTGACAGTAGTGCGTCTACTGCAATCGGGGGGGGGGGGGGGAATTCGAACCCTCATCGCACGCTAGTAAACGAGGCGCGGAGACTCCTGGAGATGGAA